ATAATACGGTACTTCTTTTCCTTTATGGGTTCTCGAACCTTCCAAGCTCCAAGAAGGTGAACCCTGTTTTTCAACCAAAGTTCTCTGATGAAAGGGCTCGGGGGTGATGTGTGGAAGTTGTCTCATGGACCTTGAGGCTTGCCGGAGTGAGTGCTCTTGCATCCCTCTGCGCTTTTTGCGTCCCCCTCTCACGCGCATCTTGTCTGCCCAGCAAGTGGAGCCTGACATTCGCATCAAGGCCCAGGTGTTGAGTTTCAGAGGAATGGAGGAGATGGTATTCTTCACGCATCGCTGCAGTGTTGGATGAAGACAAGTTCAAGAGAGAAGCTCAGAGCAGGGTGAAGCATATGGTATCATGTGGTGTTAGAAATGAGGGAAGATCTTGCGGCAGGATGTTTGTGCTCTTGACAGTTTGTCTCTACGTTCTAAGCCAGGCCACGCCGGCGCTGTCTTGGTGCAGATGAATCTGCGTCGCCTCTGGAGATATGACGTGCGCCGCAAAGTCCGGCCGACTGTCCGAGTCGGTGTTTGGTATGGAAGACCGTGGCAAAATACGGAACATCACGTTAGAAGGACGGACCACGGAGGATAGAAACGGACAGCGTCAAGCTTTCAGGCTGCTTCGCAATCTCACCGCGTCCAGCAAAGCTCAACTAAAGGTGTGCGACTGCCCGTGGTCGTTTGAATGCTTCCCTTTCCAAACAAAACAGTTGGTGCTTCCGCAAAGCGGGTTGATGGGCCTCTAAAAGTGCCGAATATGAAATATGTTGAACGCCTTTCTGTGGGCTGAAGGTGGGGGCCGAGGCCAAGCTTCCGATACAGTTGCAGGGCTTCAAGGGGCCGGCGCCTTGATTTTTCGGTGTCACTGCTAGGATCATCATGGTTTAGCAAACAGGCTAGATCGCCTGCTAGATGCCGGTTGTTCAAAAGCACTTCCACCTTTTCAGCGTGAGTTCCGCTTTCAGAAGCGACCCCCGCAGCCGGACTGTTGAGCATGCGCTGAAAGCGCAGAAAAAGGGGAACTTGGAAAGGTAGTTTCCATCTTTTATGTCAACAGCGCGAAGAGTTTTAATCGAGGCCTAGCTCAGGGCGCTCGGGTTTTGAGAAGGTCAGGCGGTTTGTTCTTTCTCCCCGTCAGGACAAACTAAACTATCCCCCTAAAGGGTTTGTGGACAGACTCGTTTGGACAGTATCCATTTCTTTCTGACTAAACTGCGGAGCGCGTTGAAAGGAAAGGCGTTGACCATATACATATCATATAACGTATAAGGCTCACAGGGTTCACAGCACGTAGCTTGACATCACTTGAAGTATAGACCCGACTCCGGCGGGGTGCTGTGTTCCACCGTTTTACCACTGAGTCTCCTTTAGATGCTTGAGGTCATGGCGGCGTCCGAGTTGCTTGATGGGGAATGTGCAATTGCTCTAATGCAAGAGGCTAAGTTTCTGTTGCAGGAGTGCAGCAGGTGGGTATGTGCAGTGTGCCAATCCGCAGGAAATTAATCCAAGGCCAAGGCCCCGAAGCTTTGAGATTAGTTTTTTGATGTGATTTGGATTACTGTATATTTATTTAAGGGCTTACGCCCGACAGCCGGCCAGGGGCCCAAGCAAAGGGGAGTGTTGTTGTTGTGGTTGTTGTTGTCGTTGTGGTTGTTGTTGTTGTGGTGGTGGTTGTGGTTGTTGTTGTGGTTGGGGCGGTTGTTGTTGTGGTTGTTGTTGTTGTTGTGGTGGCTTTGTCGGCCCAGCTGGGGTCGATGTTGGTGGATCTTTGCCATCCCATCTCGTCGCCATGTTGGCCCATCTTGGGGGCGGTGGGGCTTAGCCCAAGCGGGTCCGACTCAAAACGGCCGGAGGCACGTAGGCGGTAGACAAGTGGGGTCGGAGTTGCTGGCAAGCCGTCTGCAACAGGGCAAAAGACCAAACGCCTAATAGCATGAAGATAGACAGTACGTTGTGCTTGTGGTGGTTGTTCTTGTTGGTGTTGTCGTTGTTGTGGTTGTGGTTGTTGTGTGTGTTGTGGGTGGTGAGGTTCTCGAGGTTGTGGTTGTTCTTGTTGTCGTTGTTGTTGCTGATGTTGGGATGGTTGTTGTAATGTGGTTGTTGTGGTTGGTGGTGTTGTTGTTGTGGTTGTTGTTGTTGTTGTTCTTGTTCTTGTTGTCGTTGTTGTTGATGATGTTGTTGTTGTGGTTGTTGTTGTTGATGTTGTTGTTGGTGAGGTTCTGGAGGTTGTGGTTGTTCTTGTTGTCGTTGTTGTGGATGATGTTGCGATTGTTGTTGTAGTATGGTTGTTGTGGTTGGTGTTGTTGTTGTTGTTGCTGCGATGGTTGTTGTAGTATGGTTGTTGTGGTTGGTGTTGTTGTTGTTGTTCTTGTAGTAGTTGTTGTAGTTGTAGTAGTAGTAGTAGTTGTTGTTGTTGTTGTTGTGGTTGTTCTTGTTGTCGTCGTTGTTGATGATGTCGCGATTGTTGTTGTAATGTGGTTGTTGTGGTGGGGGTTGTTGTTCTTCTTGTTGTTGTTGTTGTTCTGTTCTTGTCGTTCTTGTGGTTGTGGTGGTGGTGGTTGTGGATGTGGACGTGGGTGTTGTGGGGGTGGTGGTGGGGATGGTGGTTGTTGTTGTTCGTGTTGTTACCCCAGCACCCGCCCACGATGCAGACGAAGCACCCCGGTGAGGCACGCATTTCCAGCATTTTTTGGGCCTATGTTGGGCCTATGTTGAGCCATGTTGACCCATCTTGAGCCCCAAGAGCGAAAAAGTGGAAGAAGCAGAAAACACTGTAAAACACACGATTCCTGTGGGGTCGAGCTGGGGTCGGCGGCGAGGGGCGGACGCCGCTCTCTCCTACGGAGAGGAGAGATGCCTACGGCAAAGACACGGCCATGGCGGGGCCCCGTGGGCCCCTGGCCGGATTTAAGGGCTTACGCCCGACAGCCGGCCAGGGGCCCAAGCAAAGGGCTTGTTGCAGTCGTGGTAGTGTTCTTGTCGTTGTTGTTGTTGTTGTGGTTGTTGTTGTTGTTGTTTGCCCAGCAGCCGCCCACGATGCAGACGAAGCACCCCGGTGCGGCACGCATTTCCAGCATTATTTGGGCCTATGTTGGGCCATGGTGACCCATCTTGAGCCACAAAGCCGGAAAAATGCAAGAAGCAGAAAACACTGTAAAACGCGGGACTGCGCAGGGGTCGGCGGCAGGGGCGGGACTCCACTCTCTCCTTCGGAGAGGAGAGACGCCTACGGCAAGGACACGGCCAGCGGGCCCCTGGCCGGATTTATGAGGCTTGCGCCTGACAGCCGGGCGCCGGCCTATTTGGGTTTGGGTATGTGCAGGGCTGGGTCCTCTCTCTCTCTCTCTCTCTCTTTCTTTCTCTCTTTGAGACTTGGTGGGGCCTATATTGAGCAAAGTTAAGCTATCTGGTGCGCATCTTGGCCCTAGGTTGGGCCAAGTTGGGCCCATGTGGTCTATGTTGGGCACATCTTGGGCCCATGTTGAGCCTATGTTGGGCCTAGGTCGGCCTATGTTAGGCCTATGTTGGCCTAGGTTGGGCCTATGTTGGGCCTATATTGGCGTATGTTGGCCCCATGTTGGCCTATGTTGGCCCTATGTTGAGCCATCTTGGAGGCTATGTTGGGCATATGTTGGGGATATGTTGGCTATCTTGGGCCTATGTTGGAGATATGTTAGGCAACTTATGTGCCCAACACCCACAAAATGTCGATTAAGCCTGTCCGCGCGGCAGGCATAACTGACACCACGGGCGCCCTTTTAGGCGACAGTCGTAGACGCCGAAGGCCACAAAACACTGTAAAAACCGATGTTTTTGAACATCCTGCGCAAGATACATATAAATCTGTCGACCGGATTTGGGCGGGGGTCGGGCGGGGG